GGCAAACTATTTCTGAAAAAAACTTGCCAAGAAAACTGCAAGGACTGGTCCAGGCAGTTGCTAGGAGTCCAAAACTGACTCAAAGGCACCCAAAAAAAAGGGGGGGGGGTTGTGTGCATACTTCTAAGGAAGCGTGAAAGGACTAAATCCATGTTTGCAAGCTAGTTATCCAGCTTGGTCTTTGATAAGGTGTACAATAGCTCTTGTGAAGCACGGCTTACAGTTAAATAAGCTAGGTAGAAACAACTAACCAACTTGTTGGTTGTAAGGAGGACAGAAGAGTGCTAGGACATCCCAGAGTTGTCATCTAGACTAAGAAGTTACAAGAAAAAAATCTCAGAAGAAGCGAATGACAAACCACGTTCCTACTCCAGTTAAGAAAGTCACACAGAGCCATCAGAAACAGAGCTAAAACTTGAAGGCATTCAAAGAAATTAAAAACGGGCTTAGGTGACAGCACCTAGCCAACTTTGATCGCAAAGAGCTACGCTGATTTGAACCTGGTTAAACCATCCAGGGCTGGCTGGGAAACGGAAAGAAGACGATGGCCAACCATTTTGGTATTTGTGCCACGAAGCCTCCTTGAACGTTCAGTGAACCAAGAATTGAGCTGAAATCAAAGGGGGCTTTAACTTTTCTTGTAGTACCTGGATCTAAGCATCTTCTAAACACCAGAGGCTGTTCAGGAGATGGAGAATGAACGTGGACTGGAGATCCCAATTCCACCCTTGGACACCATTTCCATAAACTTCATTGGTCTCCTTTACAGCGTTGGCTCATGTGCTTGTCAAGACCAGGACCTGGGTTGCTTCTTCCTCTGACCCAGCTTAGTTCCTCCAACTTGTTTTAGGTCAGCTTGAAGCCCCTGGCTGGGCTTATGTTTCCTGCTAAGCCAGAATGAGAGTCATTTGGTTAGGATGTGTTGCGGTGTCTTACCCAGGAAACACAGCAGAATTCGATATGAGTACCTCGCCAGCGTCTGTCTGATATTCTGGGGGGCAGTCTGAGTCATTTTTTAATCCCTTGGGGGGGGGTTCCTCTTTTCTGCTGCTTTGGGCCATGAAACGTGCCTTTTTTTCCCCCAGTGTGTTGGAGTCCTAAAGGAAAACAGCTGGCAGTGGGCAAGCAGAATGGCACAGTGGTCCAGTATCTGCCAGTAAGTGAATTCGGCTTATTTCCTGCAATAATTCCCCCCATTCCCAATTCATGATGAAGGCGCTGGGTGGAGTCTTGGGGCATAGCCCAAGTTGCCAACAAAGCAGTAAGAAAGTGAATACAACTGTGATAAGTTAGTAGAGGTTGATTTGCCTTCTAAGAATGCCATGTAAACACCTGAGTGTTAACCTCTGAGGTTGGCGGGCTGAGAAAAGCAAGCAGGAAATGTATTTATCATGGGCTTACAACTCTGAGCGCAGGGCAAATGAGGAGCAAAGCAATCATAATGTACTACAGTCGCTCAAAATCACAATACAAAATAAGGGGGCTGTAGACTAAAAGGCCCAGAACATCTATTTTGATTTTTTTTTTCTAAGTTAATAGTTTCGCAGGGCCCAAGAAAAAAACATCATTAAGGTCTTCAAGGCAGCTGTCAGTTTGAAGAAACTAACCTTTTTTGCCTTCCTATCTTAGTTTCGTGGGTTCTTCAAACCACCCATGGGTAATCGGGGTGTGGCTCACAGCCCCCTATAAACCCCGAATATGGATTAATTTGCTAAATAATTAACTTAGCCTTGGGTAGGTTAGACCTTAAATGAAGCGCTGCATAAACAGACAAAAATATGGTCTAACCTGCTCTTTCTTCTGCTTTTCAGAACCTGCAGGAGAAGAAAATAATTCCCTGCCCTCCATTTTATGTTTCGGATAATCCTGTCAAAGGTACGAATTTGGCGGGTATTTCAGGAGGAACGGATGGTAGGGTTTCCTTCTAAAAGTGAATTTTAATGTAAGTCTCTAATAATTAAATTAAGCCAGCTAAACCTGACATGAAGTAGAAGGTACAGTGTTTGGTTTGGAAAGATCTGCTGTTAAAAGGGGTAATGTAAGGTTAGTGCAGGTCAATCTGAACATTAGCCACCAAAAACTGCCAAAGTTGGACCTGAAAAAATAAAACGCATGGTGTGCACCACCAAGAGTCACATACATGAGATGGGCGGCTATATACATTTGATAAATAAAATAAAGAGGTGGGTGGAAGAGTTCTTCTAAAGAATAGGTGGGTTTCGCAGCAGGAATAAATACCTGATCCCCTGTGATTTAGTTTCAAAGTTGGTTTTTTATTATTTTCAATTCCAAGGAAATGTTGGAATGGAATGACAGGAGCTTGGGGATGGCTGTCTGCCCAACCATCCACAGGATAACTCTCGTGAACGGGATCAGATTTGATATGAGGAAGGAGAAACCACCCAAAGAAAGATCAGCTCTGAGAGTGGGCTGGATCCAGGCAGGGCCTGTAGAGGGGAAAAATCGTGAAAAATCCCCTAGGGCAGTGTTGCTGGCTGGGGAATTCTGGGAGTTGAAGTCCATACAGCTTAAAGTGGCCCAGGTTGAGAAACACTGCCCTAGGGTTTTTCCTAGTGGAAACAGAAACAGTTTCTCTCCCACCATGGGAGAGGTGGTTGGGCAATGATTTGGAATGGCTGCTCCATTCTAAACCACCATCCTTCTGGTCATGTGTGAAATTATTTATTTCTTCTCACACCCTGGAAAGCACTTTCCACAAAATGGACAATGTTGAATTTGATGGACCGATAAATAGTCCACCTTGCTGTGAGACACCTCCATGGTATGGAGACAAGTGACTCTTCTAAAATAGCCCTTTTCACCTTCATTGTTCTCTTCCAGTCTTGGATGTGTTGTGGATTGGAACTTACATCTTCACTATCATCTACGCAGCTGCAGATGGGTCCTTAGAAACTGCGCCTGAAGTGGTCATGGCTCTGCTTCCGGTATGTGTCTGTCAGCTATACCAGGTGGACCAGACAGGAAACACAACCAGATGAGCTCATTCTACTTTATTGTAAAGCTACACTGACTGAATCATGCAAGTCTGAAAGCACAATTCTCTCCCCCCCCCCTGTCTCCTTTACAGCCCAAGAAACTAGGGAGGGTCCCTTCTAATCCTCTTTCTCCATCCATTATGCAGCTGCAGGCTATGCCTCCTCTTATCTGATCATTCTCTTTGCAGCGTCTCTTGGCCCAGTCTCCCAAGGTCTTTCCCACATACCATGATAGTATCTACCAGGGAGATGTGCCACATCTTGGTTTTTTTTTTTTTTTTAATGGGAAGCTCTTTGAGCTGCTGTTCTGTTTTCTCTGTTCAGAAAAAAGAAGAGAAGAGGCCTGAGATATTTGTGAATTTTATGGAGCCTTGTTATGGTAGCTGCACAGAGAGACAACATCATTACTTCCTTCACTATGTTGAAGACTGGTAAGTCATGGAGGATTTGCAGGAAAATACAGCTTCAACTTGGGCTAGATGTCTCTGGATATAATAACATTCACCTACAGACCAAAACTGAGATAGAGGCATTTCTCAGGGGTATGGTAATGAATTGGATTCTGCAATGAGGTCAAGGAGAAGCCGAGCTGTAGCCTCGCAAGACTTTGTTATGGGCGGAATCAAAATGCTTTCTCGTTTAGTTTTTCAACCAGCAGCCCAGTCAACTGCAGAACAGAATATAACAAGCAAGTAAGAAGTGCCTGTAAATCCTCCACCACAATTCATGGCAAGCCACAGTTAATGTTACTAGACCAATCTCAGATCCTTCTCATGTCCTTCAACAACGTCAGATGGTTTCTTTTCTGTTTGTGGGCTGATGAGATCCCTGACTCAGTTGTTCTTTTTACAGGAAACCTAAGCGGGAGATTAGTTTGTTCTTTGCACCAAGTTCTTCCCTGAATGTTCCCATATATGTTCTTTTTCAGGGATCTGGTGCTGTTAGCCTCTGCAGCCTCCACAGAAGTCAGCATCATTGCAAGGCAAGGAGATCAGGTAATTCTCTCCCCTACCTATTCTAGTAGCCCAGGCAGAGTAGATCTCTTCGTAAGAAGAGAAAGTTTTTCACCTTCTGGATTCCTACGATAGGAAAATGCCAGAAAGAAAACAGCCAGATCTGTCTGGCTTGCTAGGGCCTCTGCTTTGTGTTACCCAAAGACTGGATCCATGCCTCTCTGGTCTACCATAGTGGGCTGCGGGACGCAGGAAAAAATGTTCCAGCTATGACTTTTCACAACACTATATGCAGAGAAGGTTGTCCAGTTTGTGTGTTTTCCACATGTACCCAATGAAAATGAAAGCATTCTTTTTCAGTTGGGTTAAATATGGACAGACCTCTGGACTGGTTGACCCAACTTCACCCTCCACTGAGTAGTTCTTCCCCTTCAGTAAGATTCTCCCTCTCTTTTCTCCTCCTTTCCCTGTCTACTAGCCTGGAATGGTGAAGAGGCACTCATTGGCTGGCCTTACTTTTGTATTTTCTTGGTAAAGGATGAGGAACAGGTGAAGTGAGGTGGGATGGTTGAAAGCGTGGAGGAGGAGATGGCTAGGAGATGGGTTTGGAGGAGGAACAAAGCTACAGCTAAGAGCCCAAGTCCTGAATGAGTCAACCTGGATGGACCATATTAAGCCCACAGGCCAGAGATTCTCCATTCCTGCTTTATAGTTTTCAAGAGCACATCCAAGGGGCTACAAAATATACAGAGAGCACCTTGGGGCTTAGTCTATAAAGCTGGAAGAGATACAGAATAATCACCAAACAACATTTTGGGCTGTTTGTCATTCTTCTGGCAGGATCCTTTCAGCCTGAAAAATTAGATTGGGAGAGTGGGTGATTCTGCTCTGTCTTCTCTTCCAGAGACACAGCTTTCACCGGGCAGGATCTTCTCTTTGTGCCCTTTCATTTCCCTGATCTCTCCTCTTTTCCCCCTTTCGAAACATCATCCTCACCGTCCCAAATGTATTCGATCAGCCATCAGAGCCATCAAAAAGTTGGACAGCAATAGTGCCTTACAGTAATACAGCCTCATAAAAACTGATTTAAAACTGCATGTAAAATTCGAAGGCATGATATACAGTGGTACCTCGGTTCACGAACTTAATTCGTTCCGCGACTCCGGTCGCAACCCGAATTGTTCGCAACCCGAATCAAATTTTCCCATAAGGTTCGATGTAATTACGG